CCCCCAATTCGTATCAGAGGCCTGAATATAATTTGGATCTTATCAGTTTGGGGAGCTTTCAAAATACACTATCTAAAGAGAGAATAAGCCTAATCTATCCCCTGTATTGCAACAGGATTGAAGGTGCAGCCTGAGAACGTGTTGGTCTGTGGCTCTCCCATAGCCAGGCATCGCTACCCCTCCCATGGCCAATTCCTCCCCTGGAAATTCGTATCAGAGGCCTGAATATAATTTGGATCTTATCAGTTTGGGGAGCTTTCAAAATACACTATCTAAAGAGAGAATAAGCCTAATCTATCCCCTGTATTGCAACAGGATTGAAGGTGCAGCCTGAGAACGTGTTGGTCTGTGGCTCTCCCATAGCCAGGCATCGCTACCCCTCCCATGGCCAATTCCTCCCCTGGAAAAGAGCAAGTTCAGCCACTTCTGGTCCCCCAGGGAAGCGAACGAGCAGTGCCTCTGAGCGCCGTGGTGCGGCAGAGTCTCAGATCTGATAGCTGCTCCTATCGTGTGTAGTTAGCGGGGAGCTCAGTTACGTGCTCTAAGAGGAGCTACGTATTTACCAAAATGAAATGGTGAAAGTGGGATTATCCTCTCCCAAACGGCTTCTGTATGCGCTAGGAATTTTTGATGCTTTCTGACACGTGGCAAGTTGTGGTCTGTATTGTAGTGAAAACCCCAAAGTAATTTTCAGTTTTACGTTACCCTTTTTGGATCGGGAGCCGATGTGTGGCAGGACCTCTTTTTATTTCTGTTTTGGTGATGCTGTTGAATGAAATAGGGTCCAGATTTTAAGAGCATGTGGTTTGTCACTGGAAATTAAAATGAAAAAGGCTGGTACCTCCCACATCCAGCAAAAAACCCACGGGTAAATAAAAGCCAGACCTTGCCAGCACCCAGCTTGCTGCTTTTAAGTTCACAGGGAGTCTCTCCATCGCTAGGGTTTGGTTGCAACTGCAGCAGCGAAACTCATCTGTCTGAACAGAAGAATTCATTCAGCCGAGCCAAAAACCGGCCGGATCCCTCTGGGCGCAGGTGGGGATCCCGGTGCCGGGCGGGGGGGCCCCTCCCTGCTGTGTGCCCGGGGAGCGGCCCTCGGCGCCCCCCCCGCTAGCACCG